ATGTGGAAAAACCAGTTTATGGGGGTAAGTGTAACAGTTGCGACATAAATTCTGGGAGCACGACGGGAAGGGCGGGAGAAGTGGTCGATGCACTGCACAGAAGACATATACATGTGTATTGCATACAAGAGACCAGATGGAAAGGTGGTGCAAAAATGATTGGCAGGACAAGTGAAATGTATACATTTTTCTGACTTGGAGGTAATAATGGTAAGGCTGGCGTTGGCGCATTTGTTGCAGAGAAATGGGTGGACAAAGTAATAGAAGTAAGAAGACAAGATAACAAGATAATGATTATCAAGATGATTTTTTGTAGAAGCTATGCAATATTATTTCGGCATATATTCCTCAGGTTGGAAGAAGTGAAGGAGAGAAAGATACATTTTGGGACAGTCTATTGGAGGTGACATTGAGATTGGCAAATGAAGTGGGGATTATCCTGATTGGTGAAATGGGCATGTGGTAGCGAGTGGCGAGGGTTATGAGAAAGTACATGGAGGATTTAGTATGGCATAGAAATCCGAAAGGGGAGAGAATTTTGGATTTTGGTGATGCTATACAATGTTTAAGAAAGAATTAGAGAAGCTGATGACTTACAAGTCTGATGGTGCTAAAAGTGCGGTGTATTATTTGTTAGTAAGGATCTGTGACATGAGCATAGTAAAAAAAGTGATACCGGGAGAGGAATGTATTGATCAACACTGACTAGTTAAAGGAGATCTCACTTTTAAAGACGCCAGGATCACTAAAAGAAAGTTTGGCCAAGACTGAAAGTTTGGAAATTGAAGGAGAGTACTAGATGTCAATTAAATACAGTGTACAAGCACCTAGAGTAAATGGCAAGTGGGAAGCCATGAAGAAAGCCTGGGTGAGGACAACTGAGGAGGATGTAGATGGACAAAAGGACCGCCTAGACATAAGGAGACATGGTGGTAGAATCAGGAGGTAGCGTAAGCTGTGGACGAGTGGGAGGTGTTTCAAAAAATGGTATAATAGTAAAGAAAATAGTGATAACAATATTTACAAGGTGTCGAAAAAATATGCCAAAAAATTAATGAAAGCGCAGGAGAAACAAAGGTAGGAGATTGCTAATGGAATGCGCGGAAAGAATGGGAAATGTGGTCTGGATGGGAAAAAGTAGAGGATGTGGTAGGTGTTAAATGTTTGAAAACCATGAAAGGAATAAAAAGGATTGATAGTGGTAATAAGAACACCTGAAAGATCTAAATGCAAAGACTATTGAACGAAGAGAATGAATGGGATAATAATGTTAGTTGTGCAAAGGTAGGACTTCCAGAGTGTAAATTTGACCAGAACGAAATTAAGAAAGCATTGGAAAGATGAAAAAAGGGAAGGCAGTGGGCCTAACGAGAGTGGTATCAGAATAGTTTAAAGGTTCTGATGACTTAGGGATTGCATGATTAATGAATTTAGCCAATCTAATTGTCATAGAAGGAACTATTCGCGAGGATTGGTGAAGAACTATAATTATTCCAGTAAACAAAGGAAAAGGTGATCCTTTAGATTGCAGGTCTTATAGCTATTAAACTCCTGGAACATGCTATGAAAGTTTGAGAGGGTTTTAGAGAAGCGAACAAGGAACAAATGAATGAAATAAAGTTTGGCTTTACAACGGGAAAAGGCACGACATGCTATTTAGACATGATGCAAGGAGAAGTATCTTGCAAAGGAAATGAATATGATTAGATGGATAAGTGGGGTATCCCTGAGAGAGAAAAATTAGCAAGGACGAGCAAGAATGGGTATAGAGTGATTGGAGTGGTAATACGAAGAAATAGACTAAGATGATATGGGCATGTGGAACGTAAGACAAAAGATGACTGGGTAAAGAGATGCATTTTGATGTAAGTAGGAGGATCAAGATCTACATGAAGGTCCAAGATGACGTGGATAAAGGTGATAGCGGCTGATATGAGAAAAATGAATCTTACAAATATTGATGCTCAGGACCGTCAAAAATGGATAAAAAAATCAGAGGGAAAACTGACCAACCTGGGTAAATCTGGAAATCGCTATTAAATGGAGAAATAATTGGAGGCTAATTTAGTTTAAAATCATATGTTGATAAACAAAACTTTAATTACCCTTTTTTATTTTATATTTTAAAAAAAAATATTTTCTAAAAGATCGAATGAAAATCAGTTTAGTCATATTATTCAAGTTTTAGACTATTTTTGTTAGGAATAGATTTAAAACGAAATTAAAACTATTTTAGAAATAAGTCGTATAAGAAAAAAACGTCTCTTAATCAATATTTAATAATGAAAAAATTTAAAATATAAAATATTCTACAACTCAAATTTGAAGTTTTTTAAAAAAATTCATAATTTCATGGGAGTGCCCAGCCCTTATCAGAACTTCTCCAAAATCTGACAAGCTGGTGAAAAATCATAAACAAAATGATGAAGTGGCTTAGCTTCCATTAGGTAGCCACGAAATTTATCTCTGGTGGAACAATGGATCAGATGGTGAGTTGTTAATGTGTAAAGAGAATTACGATAAAGTGGCTATTGACTGTATTTCATATAAGTGTGGATAAAAGTGCATTGTATGATTTGATTATAGGATATCTCTGAATCCCAGAATGTTATATTACGGAAGGCTAAAGTAGAACCCTGAAAATCCGCCCGAATCTGGGATTGAAAATAGAGTGGGCGCGGGCCGTGAAATTAGGCGTGACCCATCGTGTCACGGTGGGTCACGGCGTGAGTGTGAATAAATTTTAAATTCCAAGGCGTGATTGGGTGTGACGGGCCTTCCCAAAATTTTCCCCGGGCGTGATCGGGCGTGAATATAAATTTCCCGTGAATCACGGAAATATTAATTTTTATAATTGTTTTTTTATAAATATAAATTTGCAATTTTATAATTATATTATATATTTTCTTATTTAATTTAGTTCTTTTTTAAAAAAGAATAATTTATGAAAACTAAAAATCTTCCGCATTTTATAAACAACATCCGATAACATTTCGTTAGTTCTATTTTCTTTTTATGTTTTGGTGTTTTTTATCCGAGACTTTATACTAAATTTTGCGTAAATTTTTTACAGAAAAGTCAGTTATATTTTATTTGTAAAGATCTTCAATCTTTAAATGTATCAGAAAGTGAAGGATTTTACAAGCTAGGCCAAAAGATAAATGTTGGTGTTACTTTGGATAACAAAATATAAAAGCTGTGAACCGAAAAACTCTCATGAATTAGGTCCAAAAATATATAATGAAATAAAATTTAAGATTAAAAGCATGATCAATAATAATTACTTGTCCATAATCATTGATATTTAGACGGATGACTATAAAAATATAAGTTTTTTAACCATTTGAATTTTAAATTAAAAACATTTGTTTTGGCCACAAGGACAATGGATGAAAAAAAACGTCAATATTAAAAGTGTAGTCAATATAATTTTAGGAGAATATACAGAAGTAGAAAATTACTTAAATAAATGTATAGTTGTGAGTGATAACGGAGGAAATCTTATAAGTGCATTCAAAGGACGAAACGCTAGAATGTATATGCCATATACTAAATAATATTATGCATTATATTTTTTGACAATTGTTTAACTGAAATAGCCTTAAATATAAATGGTGTAAAAAAAATAGTACAATATTTTAAACAATCTACAGCTAATAGCATGGAATTCTGTATATATCATGATATGGAGTTTCTTAAAATAATATTCTGAAATACAGGTGTACTTGTTTAGCAAGCAAGAATTAAAAAGATTAGCCACCATTAATATCAGCATCATACGATAGTTAGATAAATTTTTATCAATATTTAAAGAATGCTCGGATAATCTGAGAGCAGATTCTCGTCCCACAATTAATGAAGTTTGTCTATGGAAACAAAAATTAGTAAAATTTTGTTAACCTTCTGAACGTGATACAATAATTATCAAAACCTTAAAATACAGAACAAGATTTCTTTTAAAAGATTATTATGCAGCCACTACATAAGGTAGGCTTAATTCTAGATCCGAATTTCAAAAGACTTAAGTTTTTAATAAAAGAAGAAAAGGATGATATATATAAAACGATCTTAAAAATGCTAAATGATATAAAATTAGATGATATGCATAAGTCGATGCCAACTATCATTTATAACTTTCCTAACTTATTTTAAACTCATAAAAAACCTTATATTCTAAATGGTCAATATCAACTATCATTTATAACTTTCCTAATTCATCCTACACTCATAAAAGACGGTATATTCTAAATAAAAAATTTAGAGAATTTCTAGATGATTCTGATGAAGGATCAACATCACCGATGAAAGCTGTGAGGATGAACTTAAAAAAAGATTCATATAAGATAAATAACAAGAAAATATTTTGAAGTGAAGCAGGAATATTCATTTTCTTTTTTGAGAAAATTATCGAGTAGAATTTTGTCAGCTGCAAGTTCGGCTTCTAGTGAAAGGTTATTTTCTGTAGCCAATCTCTTATTAGAGGAAAGACGTACACAATTGAAATAAAAAAAATAATTTCGATTTATAGATTGTATTTATTTTTTGTTATTAATATGAATTATGAAATTAGAGAAATAGATAGAATGAATTCAAAAACTGCAAAATTATAGCAATAGTTTAAAATTAAAAAACACCGTGAATTTTCGGACGTGACGGGCGTGAATCAAAATATTGCTTTTCGTGAGCGGGCGGGTCGGGTCAAATTTTTTTTAGTGGTATATTGTGAATGGGCGTTAATTTTTTTATTGCCACCGTGAGCGGGCGGGCCGTGAATGAAAAATTAGGCCCGCGCCCACCTCTAATTGAAAATATAAATAAAAAAATTCGAGCATGGTTTGTGGAGAAAGAATATAAATTTTATTCTTTGGGCAAAGTAATTTAATAAAAAAAATTTGGACTGACTAAACCTATCGATAAATTTAAAAATCAAATTGAGTTTGCTGGGCTCTTCTAAGCCAATTAAGAAAATTAAAGATAAATTGTGTATTTTTAAATATTACATTTGAATTTGGGAATTTGTGGATAGATAGGTCTTGGCGTTTCGAGAGAGGATTTATTTGTTCCAATTTATTATCTGTCGTTAAATCTAATAATTAATAACATAACATAATTGTAAAGGAACGGAAGAAACAGACAAATAAAAGAAAAAATCTATAACCAGAGTCTCCGGTTGCGACTGGCCCATTATCTTCGAATTGAATCAAAGGTTTTTCTTCGATCATTATATGAGAAATTGAAGGGTTATTCTTACTTGAAATAAATTAATCAATATTAATTTTGATTTAAAAATATTTATGAATAATTTACCTTCTAAGTAGAGTCCTGCAAATTAAAAAAATTTTCGACCTGAGTCTACCCCAAAATACTAACTCATGATTTATATTTTCATTTTAGGTTACCCGCCCTGTCCTAAAATTTAAGCCCGAGTATGATGCGATATTTTTTATAGGGCTTCGGGCCGGGCCTGGGTCGTGTACGGGCCGGGTCTAACTTTGCTAGGCCAGATAAATTTTAAAAAACTTGATCCCGAGCCCGATTCTATTTGCTAAAAAAAATTTATGCCCGAGCACAACTTTGAGCCGATTTATAGGGCTCTAACAACTATGTAGCAAGTTAAAAAATATATTAATCGCTTAATTATTACAATTTTTTGTTCATAATCTTCGAAATTAAGTTAAGACAAGATTTTTAGGAATCTATCAGAGACCCGCAGAGGTACCATTTGCACGGCCTGCCGAATTTTATTTCAAAAATTTTTCAGCCCGGTCTGAATTTTTTTAAATATATTTTTTAATTTTTATAGCTAATAATGGCGATTTAAAATATTCGGTTTTAAAATATATGGCCTGGTTATATTTAAAAAAAATAAAATACAGAGGGGGCCTGCAGTGGTTTCTATTATCCCTCAATAAAAAAATCTTTACAAAAATGAAGATTTTTAATGATATTAAAAAATTTCTGCTTCAAATGATAATATTCAAAGTTATGATGGCCTTCAAAACTTTGATTTTCTTTATAATGGTATAAGTACTGCTATAAACGAAGTAGAGGATATTGCGAGGAAAATTTACTTGCTGAAACCAGGTCGGTATTGAGATTAGAATAACTCTCAAAAAATATAACAATACTCCCCAAACCGAAACATTTAAATCTAAATTAAACTAATCACTAAAAAAAAATAAGAAAATAGTCAGTTCAAATGAAGGTCATGCACAAATAAATCTTAACAAAATGTATTCTAAATATTTTAGTAATCTAATATTTATAGTATATAAATAAATAAATATATTTTGTTTAAATTGAATATTATTAATATCGAAATTTTAAAGTGCATACAAATAAAAAAATAACTTATATACACCAATTTAAGATTTCAGTTGGTGGGCCATTATAACAGTTTGTTATTAATATGAATACTACTTAAAACAACAAGATATGAAAATATCTTTTACATCGATAGTAAATTTCGTTTATTAAAGCATTTGTAAAAAAAACTATCCGCGAGAAATAACCATAATATTTGATCATTAAGTCCCGATAAATCTATATTGATTCTAACGAAGGACTGCTTTGGGTAGTACCATCTATTGTTTTAGTTTCAACAAGGTACAATTAAGTCAATTCTGTAAAATATAGTTATTTATATTGGCTACTCTATGTGTAGACACAATCGCTGTATCAAACAATTCTGAAACCTGAGTATACATTCTATTTTTTAAATGTATAGTATTTGTTTTTAAACGTAGAGATTCATTTAACCCCAATCAAAGTTTAAAATCATTGTAAAACTAATAGAAATCTATATCTATATTTTAAAAAATGGAATGCTAAGTTTATGCTTCTATGAGAAAACCCGATGAAAACATGGAATATTTTTTATCCAATGTTGCGATATATAACAAATATTTTGTTAATTCGTTATTTATAAACATTATTTTAGTTTGTTTGTGTAAAAGATATATTTTGAAATATGATATCTTGAAACCATAGAAACTTTGATTCCAGTAGTTATTATGGCATAAATAAGTTACCAAATCTATGATGTTATACTTAATTAATTCAATTTAATGTATTTTCTTTTTAATGGCTTCACAAAAATAATTAAGAAAAGATCAATGTCTATACAGACAAAGAAACATTTATTTAATATATTACTAAAATTATTTATGTTAAAAAAAACCTAAGAACAGAAAATGAATATAAATAAATAAAACGTTAGTATGTTGTAAATACTGTTATGTTTAAAAATATCAAATAAATGTTTTTTAAATTAAATCGTTTATATAAAATTAATTTTTAATATTATTTTTTTATTTTTCACCGTTTTTAGATAAAAATAATTGGTAATTGCTTATTATAAAAATATATATTTAACAGTGGTTAAATAAATATAAAGTTACTATTTTTTAAAGAAGTAGTTATATTTTTCATGAATGATATAGACGAAAATGTAAAACAATCAACATTTCTGACTATGATGAGAACATAATTTACGATCTTGCTTATCCTCAATTACCTGGACAATTAAAATATACTGAAATAATTGATTTGTTAAATAATTATTATTAAGTAAAAATAAATAAAATTTATGAACGACTTAAATTTCAAAAAATGAAGCAATCAGTAAATGAATTTATTATAAATTTTATAGTAAGATTAAGCTTTTTCAAAAATTAGTCAATATAGAGATAATATAAATATGATATTGCGATAGATTTATAGCAGGCTTAAAGAGCAATAACATAGTTACAAAATTATTATCTTACTAATCAAATAAGATAGTACAAAATAATGTGATGGTAATTGAGAAGTGCAAAGTGGCAGAAATAATCACATGAAGGCTTCATGTAGAGATTGATATGTTTAACTTGTTACAAATGTAGTATAAAAGGACATCAATAAAATGTATGTCGATCAAAAGAAACGGGATATAAAATACAGAGTAGAGATGAAAGAAGAAGCCAAAGAAATAGGAGTAAGACATTATATAAAAAATTTCAAATTAAAAATTGTATAATATAATTTCCCATTATATTATTGGTAGATACTGGAAAGCTATTTGATGGAATTCTATATATCAATATTATTTTAAAATCATATAAATAATGATAATATTACTGTATTAAGTTGTAAACAATGGCAAGTACAATTAGAATAGATAATTTAAGAAATTATCCGAATATTATAAGCAATCCATAATGAAATATAATCAATGAAATTGAAGGTACGAATTATAAGGAGAAATTACGTCAAAATTAGGAATATTAGTTAATTTAAAAGCAAAAATAATTTAAAGGAAAATGAAGGCAAGTCCGGTACAGTTAACATGGAAAAGTAAAACTGAAAACTTTAAATAAATTAATAAAATTAAAAAAATAACTTTCTTTTATATATGCACCTATAGTCTCTATCTTAAAAAAGAATACAACGAATATGTGGGGATTTCCGAAAAATGATAGAGTGAATCTTCTTAACAATATCCCCTATCGAGAATTGATAGGAGCCATTGGAGTAGTAGATTTTACAACTCTCGATTTATCCAATGCCTACCATCAAATAGAATTGGTCGAAGACTCAAAGTGATAAGTGCAAATCAACACCCCAAATGGATTATATCGATATAATGGTCTACCATTTAGAATATCCCCAGTGATATTTTAACATATCATTGATTCACTACTAAAAGGTCTAGCAGGATCAGATGGTTATTTGGATGATATAATAGTGGATGAATTCCGTAAAGAAGCATGAAAACAATCTGCATAAGGTATTATATTATCGGAATTATATTAAATCTTGACAAATGTAAAATATTTTGCGTAGGAGATAAAATATTTAGGGCATAAAACTAATAAAGAAAATATATAACATTTAGATGCAATAACGAAAGTACCGTAGCCAAAAAAAGGAAGTTCAAAGTTTTTAGGGTTAAAAAATTACTAATAAATATATGCCAAATTTCAACAATAAACCACTAAAAAATTATTACATAGGAAAGTATGAAAATGGGAATTAGAGCAAAATAAAGCGATAGAGATGGTACGTTAGCAATGGAAGCTTCAAATTATGCAATCGGTGCAGTATTATCTCCTCCGGTATCAACTTTCATGGATGGAGGAAACCTTACGAGTCTTGAGGGCGCAAAATATTTATCCGAGGTTTTCATCAGTGCTGAACATAGGGACTGTTACAAATCCAGTTTTTTTATTTTTAAATTAAAGATGTCGGCGAGGATGATTAAATTGTTGACAGTCACGACATCTAAGACTTTTTGTCGTTAACCGTTCGGTTTGAGTGTGTCATCTATTTTTAAGAGTTTTTATTACATGGATGACGTGCTTATAATCGGGGTTAGAACAGCACAATAGAAGGTTAAAAGAAGGATTGACAAGACAAGACAAGGGATTACGTGCAGGAAGAGAGAAGAGAGGGTTACTGAAATGGTGTATCTGATACATAGAATAAATGGTATAAAAATAAGACCCTTGGTAAAAAATTTGAAGAATATTTATGCTATGGTGAGTCCGTCATCGAAGATGCAATCGTTTATCGGGATGATAAACTATTATCACCGTTCTTTTGATGATTTTGCACAAATATGCACCTTTATATGACTTGATAAAGAAGGGAGTCATGTTAATCAGGATCAGGGGCAACAACTTGGTTCTGAAGTTTTGTAAAGTAAAATTTAGGAAGTCCTAATCTTAGTTCATTTTAACTGTGAGTTAGAAGTTTTGTGAGCTGTGAATGTATCTAGCAGAGGAGTAGAAGGAGTGTCACGTATTATGGGGATTTCGAGTCCAGTGCTATTCATTTCGACATTAAATACAACATTAACGAATTATGAATACTTCCAACATATTCTGTTGTCCTCTCTTTTAGTTTTAAAATCTGGAAACTAAATTCAAACCATATTCACGTTTTTAGAAACACCCTAAGCCGTCTCAAAACAATAAAATCCAACTTCTTGAATTATACCAACATATTCTGTTGTCCTCTCTTTTAGTTTGAAAATCTGGAACCTAAATTCAAATAATATTTCTAACTTCTCCAGGGATTAAAGCTGGCTTAGATGTTGCAAACATTTTTTCGGTTGTCTTAGCATTTTTACTCGCATTCATTTTGAATTTTAAATACTTCGAGAGGCTAGTATAACAATTTGTCATCAAAGTCTCACATTGAAGTAACTTATGGATTCCTACTTTTCTAACTATTTTTCAAACCTGGTGGGGTTGTTTAAAATTATTTTT